CTTAATTCTTTTCAGAAGGAAACAAAGTTTTCTGAGATTTAACTATACATTTACTCAGCTCAACTTGGGGGAATACGTAATGATTTAGTAAGGGCAGGCAGTCTGTCCCAATACAGAAATATACAGTAACACGTCACCTACAGCTGAGCAGTGCCCTACAGCTCAAGGGCAGCATGTCCATGGTTAGAATATCTGTTTACAAACTACTGCTTGTCTAACTTATACTGCTGGGAATACAAGACAAGCCTTTAAAAATCACTGTTTAAAAAATAGTACAAGATTAAATAAATAAAAAAAAGGGGGGGGGGGGGTTAGTTCAATTTTTCAGTCTTTTATTGCTGTTTGGGGTGACTTGATAGCTATCTTCACAAGTGGCATGGTGATGTCAATGTCAGTGAGATGGCAAGGACTGTACACCACCAGTTATGTTTTCGGAGCCCGACCAGCGTTTGTGGCGCCGTGTACCAGAAGCACGGACGGAAACCAAAGCTCCCGTTCTGACGTGCAGTTGTGGCTGATTGGTGGCACCCTGACTGCTAACTCAATGCTTGTCTGAGGTAAAAATCATTTCTTGTGCCCGCCCTGCTCTTTGGCTCTGTATACCTCGCGTGTCCCTGTAGAGTGCATTATACAGTAGGCCTTTATGCCATTTCGTGTATGGCTCCAAGGAGATAATTGTATGGGTTTGGGTGGCTCCCCCCCTTTTCTCCCTCTCCCCACCCCTTTTTTTTTTTTTCTTTTTAAATCTAGTGTGGTCAAATCAATCTTTAAAGTTCAGTTTGTTCCAAAGGGTCTGTAAGGATGGACGTTTGATTATGTCTGAAAGCTCTTTCCCATTTCTTTATTTGCCCAGGGACAAATAGATTCTTTTAATGAGACGTTCCCAGTGATGAGAATATTTTGAAGAGCTGCACACATCAAGCCATTCCCCAAATGTTTCACAATTTGTAGTTTCCTTCTGTAAGCGTAAGGATCATCTTTGAGCATAATACCTTATTCTGTTTGGAGTTCAAAACACTTTTCTAATACGTTAAACCACTTCCCACAAACTTCACTCTCAGGAAGTTTGAATTGGCTGCTTTTCCAAAGAAGTCTGAAGGATGCCAGTGTTCTCAACTTTGTAAACTCAAAATGAACTCGTATTCGTGCTTCAGATCAGATGAAAGGCTCAGGTTTTGTGTTTTCATTTTAATCAGCATGGTAGCATTTTTGGAGTCCAGATATCTAGTTCCTATTTCTTGCTTTTATAAGTGCTTGCTCCCTCTTGTGCTTTGCCTAGCCCACCTGCCCAAACCACTAGCTTGAGACTTTTCACAGCAAGAAAACAGCAAACACAGAGAATTGCATTTCTACATTGGAGGCTGGGACAGAACTCAGAAAGGCCCCGTAACACTAAGTGAAACAAATATTACTGATCAGCCAGAATAGCTGATACAGACCTCTCTCTCTGAACACCTGAATAGATCCACTGAAATGTCTCATTTAAACTTATTTTTCTTTTTAGATGATGATTAGTAAATAAATAAGCCTTCATCATTTTGAGTTTAATAGTAGAGCAAGTAGTGGTAATAACAGCACTAGCAGCAAACAACAACAAAATAATCAACCAAGAAAAAAAAAAAAAAAGAGCAAAAACCACTAATAAGACAAAACCTAGGATCATGAAAACCTTAAAAAAAAAAAAAATCCCAATCAGTTGATTATTATTATTCTCATTATTCTAAGAAATTTTAGAGCTCTATCAGTTCAGAAGTAACTTGTGAAATACAGCCAAACATGGATATAACAGAACAATTTGTACAAGTACCCTATGAAGGCCAAGAGCCAAAAGAAAGTGATAATAGAAGAGGAAACACATTTGACAAGTGACTTCTCTCATACCAACCACGCAGCCAGGCTGCAGATCTGAGCCTGGTGGTGGCCCCACCAAGGACAGAGCCCAGCACCACCTGCCCGTGGCTCTGCCCTGAGGGTGCCACTGACATTTGCCTCCACGTTTTAACCTCTGCTCACTGCCACCCGATCGGAGAGCACCTCCCAGAAGAGCTCTTCTCCCCAGTCCTACAGAAAACCTCAGAGTTCTGACCACTAACATCAAACAAGGGTCAAACCCTGGAGATGCACGGGGCTTGTCAGCCAAGGGGTCACAGCCGATGCAGAAATAATATGAAGCAGCAATAGTTCCTATTTTTAGCCTTAGACTATATGAAGCCACAAGGGTGGCTACTGCCTATAACCATTTGCTCTGTGATTTGCATTCCATCAGCTGACCCTCTGCAAGAGTTGGGAGTCCCAAATCTCACCCTCCTGCCAGATCTTCTCCTGTTTTCACCTTCTAAAACAAAAGTCAGTGTGACCCAACATCAGATGTGGATTTAAAAGAACATTGGATTTCAGTTCAGTCCCTAGATAGGATTCCTTAAAACAGGAGGTGGAAAAATGTTCAGAATAAAAAAAAAAAAAAATACACCGAGCCAATGCTACCGCCTGCTGATTGTCGGCTGGTGTACACAGCCCATTAAACCGCTGCAGATAACGTAACAGCTCGTCTCAGTGACTGGAAGGCTGAGGAGCAGACTGAATATATTGCTTCTGCCTCCACATCTCACATGCACCAGACACCATCATGACACAGTCAAAGACTGGGCCCTCCTGCAATGTATTTTAAGATTTATCTAAGTAATTACAACATATTGCAACAAATGTCTGTATCTCGAAATCATACAAGAAAGCCTTTTTGAAAGCATCTCACGAATCACTACATTATTGAGAGAGCCATAGAGAATAATCTCCTATGCGTTTTCTGTGGTTATTCACTTGAAGGGTTGGATGTTTGGGCGCTTTGAAAAATACAAAAAAAAAACTTCAGGAGAAATGAAAAGGAAACCTTAGAAATCTTCAAAGAAACACTGCTACTACCAAACGTAAAACAGCGCTATAAAACAGTCACAGTCACATCATTTAAAAGTTGTTTTTCACATAACTGAGCTGCATTACAATAAATATTCTGGACAGTAGATGTCCTAATTGTAATTTGGCAAAAACGCTTTGGCTGCACCAACCTAGTTAAATAAAGTGTCAGGCAGTTATTGAGCAAAATCTACCTTATAAGGCAAAGAAAATACTTGGATTTGAGATGCCCAGTAAGCAACAAACATACTCTATTAGCTTTTGCTTTTGAGATAAAGTAAACATAACAAATGTGTTTCTGTTAGAAGTTCAGCAAGTCTCTTAAACACTGTTTGTGAGGTTTTGCTTGGCCTAATGACATGGACAGTTAATTCAATCCCCAGAATGTGTTAATGGGATATTCCCAGTCAGGAATTTATCAATAAAGCTGGCAAATTCATTCACGGGACAAAAACATGATACAATTAGGGAGATCAAAGATAACCTCCATTGCTGATCAGTGTTTGAAAGGCAAATCCATTATGCTATGTAAACACAAAGGTCAGATAAGCCTTTTTGTATAAACACTGGGCCAAAAGTGCTTTAGGACACTGAGAGCCTATAAATTTGTGACAACATATATACATGGATTCAAACTGTCTTCATGTACATGCAGCCAACCAGTCCCACCCCTCAGATTTGAGCTTCGTTGTCCAAATAAATGCAAATAGTGCTTCTACTTACTCTATGATACAGGAGGAAAAGGTAAAGCAGGCAAAAATGCTACAATTCAGAGTCCAAACTATAAATAGCTTTAGGTTTTAGAAAATACAAACCAGAGAACTGAGCATTTCTGGACAGCAAACACAAGGACTGTTTTCAGACAGATGCCTACAGTAAGTCTTAAAATAACTGACAGTTTTTCTCTGTAGTTTTTCTTCACTGTTTTTCCAAGCTATTTTGGAAACTTTGAAATCTGTCTTCTCTGTAGAGAAGGAATTTCAATCACAAGAAAAATCTTTTTCAGCGCTGCACAGATCTTTTCAATAACAAGAGACAAGCATCAGCATATTCAGAGCACCAGCTTATCATTGTCTAGAATTATCTAACATATCCGAGTGGATTAAAAATGTCACAGAAATAAAAAAAAAAAAAACAAAACAAAAAAAAAAAACTCACAGAGTGAAAAACTGTGGAGTTTGAGAACAACTTGCTCCTAGAAAATGCCAGAGATGCCAAAACAGCTTACACAGGTCAGAAGTAAAAATTCAATAAATTTATGCTTGTTGTAGAAACAACATTACAAAGGAAGAGTCAGATTCCTTGTCTGACAGATACCAGAAACACGATGAAAAAGGTATTTAAATACATGCTGTCAAATTATGTCAAAAGTCTATTCACATGCATATCTCAGAGTAGGAATTACATTTCAGACAAAGTTTTGGGGCTCAGGAAGGTAGCAAGAGCAAGACTTACTGTGTGTTTATCCAAACTGAGTGCTCAGAGCAGATTCATGTCTAAATAGTTGTCTTTTGCTACCAATATATCTAAAGCTCACAGCAAACTCACAGTATAGCTGGCACATGTTAAATGCAAAGCTCCTGCTCCGTCCTGTTGAACTGTTTGACTACATCCATCCACCCAAACACCTGCAAGTGTTGTTACTAAAGCAAAACATGTTCAGAAAGAGGAATTGCTGTTCTTAGACCTGAGCAAGGTCACTTGGATCTTTTGGTTTTAATCCAGCCCAAATGAAACCATATAAACGGCTCGTGTCACCATGTCTGTTTTGAATACCTACAGGGTCTAGGTGGTAATTTGGAAGAAAACCCATTTTGAAAGAAAATAGCAAAATGTAGGCTGCAGCTCCTGGGGCTTGCTTTGCTTGTCAGGCCACACTCAGTATTTCGGGCTGGTAAACCTCACCAGCTGAGATGAGCAGATCCAGCAATGGGGGCTGGTGGACGAAAAGGGCAACGCACCACTATGAGAGTTTCCCTTACTGTCCCTTCCAGTCATGTCCTTACCACTAAACAATTCTCTCTTTCAGTAAGTCACATGATAGACGTTAGCTGTTAACCCAATTTAAGCTATTTTTGTTTCTTTTCCAGTATGCTCTGATCAGCAGCACGAACCACAAATAGTGCCCAGCAATTGGCGAGTGGCAGATGCCTGAATCCCATGTTTTTCATCTCAGTTCAATCTCCTTGACTCATGCATCCTGTCTACGCTAATGTTAGTTTCCTGATTGCAGTGTGTCTGCAGCTTTGGAGTGTCAACAAGTGCCTGAGCCATCCCAGAAAGCTTGCTCCTCCTCTCTGGTCTTCAGTTTTGCTTGGTTTTAATGGCTCTCTCAAAGCTACCTTGTTTTGCCAATCTACATCTGGACTCTTACACTGGAATGGCAGTACACTTTCTCCTCTATTTTTAAAATAATTATTTTGATGGTCCAGAATATTCTGCTTTGACATCTCAGAAGAATATGAGCTACTAGCCACTAAGTTATACTCACCTGCCATATTCATTACACTACCACATTCTCCCACTTGAATGAAACACCCCAAACAGGAAGATCTGACCTAGAATAGACTGTTGCTTGTTTGGGAGGTGCTCGTGTCTTCATTTCCCCTATAATCTGAAATTCTCCTGTCCCAATTGTTGTCACATTCTAGATAGCGTAGTAGACTTCCATTAAGACCATTTATGAGTTGCATTTTTCTTGCAAACTCATTAACAGCATTCACTAGGGATAAAAAATAGTTGTCTTTTTCTTCTCCATTTAAAGTATACAGCTAATACAAAACTCAAATTAGGATCACTACTACTTATAAAACAAAAACAAAATAGCACAGCAAGAAGCAAAGTAAAAGTACGTGACAGAGTTGTAAAAGTGCATTATTAAACTACTCGTCAGAACTTTAGATGCATTCCCTTCCACCTTCAGCTATTTACTACAGAGCCCTTTTCCTTACCATTATTTCAAATATTTGCCTCCAAGCCTTGTGATGGGGCACTACTCTCACCCGCATTTTACAAAAGATGGAACCAACAAGCTCCATGCAGCCAAGACTCCCGAGTCCCAGCACAACACTACTTTCTGCTCTGGATCATTTTGATATGTTTTGTTTGTTTGTTTGTTTGTTTTTCCCCCAGTAAGCTTATGTGGAACTATGAACCTAAAGTTGCAATTATGCTCAAAGGTTTTTAAACAAATCAAAGCTCAGGTCCCAGGAACTCTGCTCAAACAGCCCACAAAGAAACACATTACCCAGCCACCATTATTTGGGCAATGGGATTATGTATACAAGTCCAGAAGTCTACAGAGTCCCAATTCAGATTTATTTCCTTAAGTAATGGACTATTTATCTAAGCACTTATTAGCTGAATAATAATTAGCTGAAGCGGATGGAAGACTGTCTCACCTTAAACCACGACAGCAAGGGAATAAATAGTAACGATCGCAGCAGCTGCATACGCTAACACTTTGGGTAGAAACTTTAACTTGAGGCTCATATAAAGGGTTTTCTTTGTTTTAAATTACAAGTGGAGCCATTACCCAAAGGTGCAGTCCTCCCAAGAGAAACAAACTGAAACAATGAGAAACCTGTAGGCAGGAAGTACTGAAGCAGGACGGTGGGTTCAAATATCAAAGGCCACATTTCGTAAGGTGTAAGTCATACCTTTCTACATCATAAACTGCTGTCCTCCTACTTGGAAAGGAAGTCGCCATCTTTTCCTCCTTCCACGAGCTACTTCTGATGATTACTCAGTGTTTACTTGACCTAGCAATGAGCTCTAAAGCCCTCAGCCACTCTAACACAGACAGAGCGATTGCACGCACAGCTCTGAGTCCCGCTGCACAGCTCTGGTTGAGCAAGACTTGTCCTCCTGCACTGAGCTAACCCAGCAGAGGTGCTACCACCAGGACGTTCGAAACCTCTACCTTTTAGCGGTACTGGGGTAACCGTGGCATGCAGATCTTCCTCTGCTCTGTTTTTAAGCACTGTGCACTCTCATTTATTTGCGAAACATTTCAAAATAATATCAGTTGTTTCTGATTGTAATCCTTTTATAAATAAATTATGTATGTTACTGATGAAACAGTTCAGTTTACAATAATGCAGTTTAACACAAGAAAAGTTGAGCAAGTTAAGGTATCACACTTCTTTTCACCCCATGAAACTGCTTAGGGTGTGCAACACCCAGCTGATTTCTGCTGTGATATTCACACTCTACTGTAGAGAAGCTACAGTGAGAAAAATAAATGAATATCTTTCATTCTGATTTGAAATTGCTTGGAGAAGTCTGTGCAGGAATCCATGCTGCACATCTGAATTATTCAGATAGAGTTTAATTGTCCACTTACTCTGTGAAAGGAAGGGATAGCTCATAGCGCCCTTCGTAGCTGAAAGGAAGCTATCAACGTTGCAGGAGAAAGAATTCATTATATTCCTCCCAGTATTTTTTAAACTTTCCTATTCTTGAACTGAAGCATTGACTTCTCTTGACTATCTGTTCAGACCATTTATAATCAATGTGTGCAGATTAAACAAGAAATCTCTCCTTCCCGGCTGTGCAAGCACTGATCACAATAAGCAGTCCCTAAGACCCATAATTTTCAGCTTTGCAGAACTTTTGCAGTGAAGCTGTACTTAACAGACCTCATAGTTACACAGCAGAAGGCAATCTTTGCTCCTTTAAAATGAACATAGTGCTAGAAAAAAATAAACAAACACTGTGCCAGAAGAGGTAAGAAAAAGCACTTCTCAGTTAAACTAAGAAATCAGAGCTCAAAAGAAGTAACTATAATGCTAGGTTTTATATAAACTGGTTTAACATAGGTTTCACTACCTATATGCCTTATTGTATAGGTTTAGCATGATAGACGTGATATCAAACGGGGTGTGAAATGCACAGAAATATAATAATTCAACAAATGATAGGTAAAATATTTTTTTTTTTGCCTCTATTGACAGTTGTCTTTGAAAAAACACTGCTACACAACCTTGATAATTATTAGCTAAATCTTTGCTAAAATCTCTCTTTAAAATGCCCTTTGGCTGTAGAAGTTTTATGAATTGTCCATTGAGGAAGAAACTAGGATGAAGAACACCCCAATTTCAATTCTCAGGTATGTTATACATACAATAATGTTACATCTAATCAAGCACCACCAGCTTTCTTCTTGGAAATTATTCATCATCTGTTGTAGAGGTTTTCAGCAAGTGAGCTGTGGTGCTCTTATACAGATATTTCCCTTATAAAATTATAATATTTAAAGTAGTTAAAAGCCTGATGCAAATCTGTTGTTGCAAATGCATCTGAAATTATTCTGAATCTGTCAGAATATTAGAACCAATTGCCATTATTTGTATTACACCAGCTTTCATAAGTATATTTTATATTGCACTTCCAGGAAGCACTTGTTTACAAAGATGGATGGTGCCCACATTTATCATATTGATAGTGCTTACCGTATCTATTTCTGTGGGTGGTTATTAAATATTTTATTTATTGCTGCACACAGCTGATCTGATTGCCATTAGTGAGACATATTGATAAAGTTACTGTGGGAGACTGATGCCGGTAACATATTTAAGACCGAGAAAAGCTTACTATTTTATGTGTACAAGTGATACTGTATGCAACTCTTGTTTCATCAGTAAAAACCCAAACAGGCCTGAATATAAAATGCTGTTTTCAACTTAGTCACAAGAATGTTAAGAATTTCTTTTTAAGATTTCTGTGTCTTCCTTGTCCACAGGGAGCAGCAACCCTAGCAGTATATTGCTAAATTCAAAGATTGCTCTCATATCATCTTATTAATAAAACTGTCAGTCACAACACTGGTCGTACATTTTGCTGTAGATTTTCTCTTTATTTTCAAACAGACTTTTAACCAGTCTCCTACTATATTGAGAACAAAGCCATATCAGTCTAAATAGGACACCACGTGGTCTCCTCTGGATGCTCTGAACCACCTGGCCTTGCCTGCTTTCCATGACATCTATACACAGCCCACGTTTCACAGTTCAGCCCCAGTTTTGCTTTGCACACAAGCAAGCCAAGGTTCATGACTTCAAGTCAAGACATCCCCTGAGTAGCCTAAAAGCCAGAAGTAATTGCATTTTTCATTTAGTTACTGGAAAGAAGAGACGAAAGATTCAATGCACATCGCATGACTGTCAAGACAGCACAGCAGAATTACATATATGACTTGGACTGGTTTTCAGAAGGGATGAATGCTGAACTTCCTTAGACAGGGGCAAGCAAAGTCACAGGAACTGGGAAGTGCCTGCTATCTTAGCCCTGTACCTGTGAAAGATTATTCTTTCAAGAAGAAAAGCATTAGTTTTGTTTTGTGCGGGGAGGTGAGCACAAAAACCTAACTTCTTTTAGAAGCTTACCTACAATAATCAAAGTAATACTGAGAACATTCTTAGCACTGCTCATCTATACGATGGGTAGTTTCTGCAGGAGAAGAAGCAGAAAGATGAGGAAAAATCTACTTCCCTTAGAACAGTTCTTAACCAAACACATACATGAAAGTACTCTGTAAACACGACTGGAAAACTTGTGTTCCATATGTTATTTATCACTGCTGGAATGAAGTCATGTTTTTTTCCTTTCACACCCCAAAGACTGTCAACACCAAAACATTTTTGTTGCTTAACTGAGAATTATTTTTTCACTTTATAATCCATTACTACTAATATGAAGAAAATTATTTTTAATTTGAAGACAAGCATGGAAGCTACCTTTTTTTTTTTTTTCCCTCCTCCAGTTTAGTGCTGACACAAGCAATTCATGTTTCTGTTCTTTCTCATTTCCATTCTCATCTAACTGCCCCAGCTTGTGGTTGTGGACCCAAGGTTTCTTCCTGAAGACCTGTTCCTCATGTTCTGTGCCTGTGACTTGTGTGAGGAAGCCATGTCAGTAATTTCTGGGCAAGAACCAACCCGAGATGCAGTGCCTGTTCTCAAAGTCGCTGCACTGGGCTGCTTTGTCAGATTCTGTCTGACCACAAAGTCTAAACATGCCCTCTGAAAGTCCAAAGAAACAGGAGGCATCAAATGAATAATGTAGTTTTACCAACTGTCTACAACATTTTCTGTGAAGCCAAATTACTTTGAATTTCAACGAAGCAACACCCATTAAAAAGGATCCTGTCCCTGTCTTTTGAGTTCAGCTAATATACTGTATATGAATTTAGTGTAATGCATTTTAAAGAAATGAAATCTTCTCTTATAATGTTGCCAGCTCCAGATATTCCTTACAAATAAATACAATGATTCCTATGACATTTTCAGAACCTCTGTAAGTTTGATTTTGAGCTCCAAGTATCAATGTTCGCAGCTTTTCCTTGCTGTTGTTTACTGCTTTTAGAGGGGGAAGGGATATAGAGCCTTCAGCAGTAACACATCAAACCTAGCAGTACTACCACTGGCCCCACACATCTGGAAACCAGAAATTCTCCTTGCTAATTTAAAGAAATAGTATATATCTTTTAATTTATTCATGCATAAGGACACATTGCTGAATTTTATTTATAATGCTGATTCAAAGTGTTTGTTTTAAACAATCTGAAAAAAAGTTTCTCATCAGAAAAAGTCTCCTTTCTGCAAGCAAGATACTTCAGATAATAATTTTAATTTTTAATGCTTCCTGGTGGAAGATTTGCCCGTACCTAGCTGTGGCCACCTGCAGCACAGCCCCACATCACTGCTCGACTGACAGCAGCCACATGGAGTCGATGAAGCAGGTACCTGCCGAGTGCTTTGATTGCTCCCCCTCACCGCGGCAAGAGGGACACCTGACATGGGCCTGACAAGTGCAGTGCTTGTCCATTAGTTTCCTGACCAACTGAAAATGTTAAAGCTGAGTTCTGATAGAAGCTGTAGCCTGGTCTTTCAGGACATACACATGTATTCTGTGCTAAATGAACTAGTGATTGACTAGCTTCTGCCACCTGATGCTTGGTAGAAAACCTCTGCCACAAAATGCATGTAGAAGTCCATATTTCCAAGACATAAGACAACAGATGCCTGCATATAGATACGTTCCCTACCAGCTGTGATCCAGGGTTATTATCTGGTGCAAGAGCCAACCTCCAGAGCCAGCCAGCGTCCCTTTTGCTTTATTTACTCAGTAATGTCAGCCCTGTGTTTGAGCTAAGAGCCTCTACCAAGCAGCGACTGTGTCACTGTTAAATAAGTCAGGCAAGGTTAATTACCAGTGTGTTTACATATAAAGATGATCTGCGATGAGAAAGACATTGCAAGAAAAGTACAGTGTGATTAAATAGAGGTAAAACACCAGATTGTTTGTTTAAGCTTTCCATTGCTGTAGAAGTAATTTTCTCTCCCTCAAGAGCCAGAGCACAGCTTTTTCTTTCAGTCAAGAAGCTGATTCACTCAACATCGCTTTATTTAATCAAAATGCAGCATCTCTATAGCACATATTTTTCCCCTCATAGGCGGCTATCTGTGTTGCTAGGTTGGGTAGTGGCTGAATAGCTCTCGCATGCAGACGTATTACAGATGTATAAAATGTCAGCACAATTTACTGAGCCTGGTGAGGATGCCTTTGTTACAGCTTTTGTTTTAAATCCAGTACTGTGTCTGCCTCCTAGGGCCCTGAAGTGAGTCTCTTTAAAAAGAGCTACAGATTTATTCCTCCACTTTGAATAAGTGAAAATGTGTTTTGTTGAAACCTCAGGAGAGTAAATGGATTTACTATAGAATCCCCTTTTGTTTATGGGCTTGATGAAAGCATTTGGCACTTAATGATTCCCAGGCTATTCCAAGTTTAAAAAAGAAGAAATCAAGTGTGCTGAGTGTTAAAATGTTTTCCACCAACCTCAAAGCAAAGTTAACATAAAGACTTGCTTCAGGTGTCAAATTAGTATGGAAGTGGAATGCTTACTAACTCGCCTTCTCAGCATTTACACCCAGTATATTGTCACATTTTGTTCTTAAAACAGACCCAAAAGCATGGGAGGTGAGGGAGACCTATCCACGTGGCCACTTGAAATCCAAACCTCTTCCTCTCAGCTCTCGCTTCTCCCATCATCTGCTCCTCCTCCCATCTTCATTTTCTTCAAAAAACTTTGCAAAAGTTCTGAGATGACAGCACGTGCTAACTTCCCACAACCACAGAATAATGTCAAGAATCAAATTTATGTAAGCACAATGAACTTCCATTAAATTATTAAACTCCTCATAAGAGACTGTTTATGTTCTTCTATCAAAGTGGTTCGAAGTGCAAAACTTCTAACAGAGCGCTACTGACACTATAAATACACAGAGGACACAATAAATTATCACTGTTAAAAGGTTTTATGTAGGGATAGCTTAGTTAGCAGCAGTTGTAGCTTTTGGTGAGCAATCTATTTGCATTACCATAGAGAAATATTGCAGTCTATATCAGTTTTTAGGCCAATATTGATTATGACTAATAAAACACAGGAATTAGAAAGCTTGTTAAAGCCTGATATCTCACCTAAAAATCTCAGAGCTACCTATTTCCATTTACAATATTCAGGAATTTTCCAGCAGAAATATTTTAAATGTTAAAAAACACTTTTTTTTCTTTTTTTTTTTTTTTTTGAGAAATAGTGAGCCACCAGTGCATTCCCACTGAGAGACCATCAGTTTCTCTTTAACAGAATAATCAGGCATAATATGCTTATCTGATCCTGTTCTCTAGCCAATATATTTCTCCCTTTCAGCTTTTCCTCCTTCTTGTCAGCCTCTTAGGGCTCTGTTCTTTATATCAAGCTTTTAATAGATATTTACCCACGGAAGCTGCAAGACCTGTCCAAGTCCCTCCAAAATACAGTATGTGATGTGCTAGTTCTTACTCAATTAGTTTTTCTCAGTCTATAGATTTTTTAAGGGAGGTTTCTCAGTCTGTAGATTTTTTTTTAACCTTTGGAAAACAAATTTCCAAGGCCATTCAGAAGTTTGTGTCCTTTTTACAAAGGCAGTTCAAAGCCAGTTAGGCTCCCTCCTCCCAAGAGAACTACACTGTATTTTTCCTTTCAGGGAAACAGACTTTGTACTGAAGACATCTTTGTAATTTGGTATTTGTATGGATCCCTCAGCATAAAGATGACAGACAGCATGTAACACAACCGGGCATGCAGAACCACTCTGCTAAAGTTATTTCTGCCTCTAAAATACAAATGATTGAAAAATAAAGGGGGCAGAGGGATAGGAGAGGGATCATCATAGTATCCTAAGATTCTTCCTATCCTGGACAGCTTTGGTTTATTCCCTATAACGAATGGTTGACAAAGGACTATTAAGAGAAAAGGTGAGGAGTAAACGTACATGTACATACACTTGTATACTTTATGACTGCATCATAACTTCCTGTGGTGACCACATGCCTTTAAAATCCAGGAGCTTCTGAATATTAAAGTAGCAGCAGATTTGGCTATTCAAAAAGTTCCCCAGCTCTAAAGGAGGAAAACCACTGGCTAAACTCTCAGGGTAACCTTCCTCTGAAACCAGTTCTTCCCATCTTGGCCTTTTTGCTTCCTTTTCACACATAAAAGGGGTTTCTAATGAAAAACCTGTGAAGTACCTCAGGATGTTTCCTCCATGCAATCCATTAATTATCTTAAGAAAACCAATCATTATAACCCTAATGCTGACCTTAGCTTGTCTCTCACTTTGTAGCATTTACTATTGCTCTTTTTGAAAAGTACAAAGTGCTCCTGGCAGATCCAGCCAGTCGAGCAGACTCCCACCTGGTTCAAACACGTGTCATGGACTGATCAGATCGGCCTCTCTCAAAGCCATGGGTTGTACAGCCACCTGCAGGGATGCCACAGGGTTACCATCTCTTGGGTGGGGACTGTCCCCAAACTGCCAGT